CCTTTATTGGGTTAACTGACTTTAAGCAGGTAGCTATAGCTCTTGAGACAAGTGGCATTCATTCCTGCTCAAGTTTTGAATGTGTGGCAAAAGTAAATTTGTTTTCCTGTTTTATATTTGTAATCAGTAAGTAATTTACATGTTGTTAAATAGCCTTGAATATTCTACTTTATATTTGGATTTCCACATACGTTGAAACAGAGAGGATGAAAACTTGAGTAATCTTGAATTGTGTTTTTACCCATATTTTCTTATTTGGTAAAAGCAAATTTAACTTTAACTATGAAAACGAGACCATTATATTTATTTAAGTTGACAAATTTGGAATGATATATTGGTTTATATACTTCATTATTAACCAGTAGTTACAGAGCTTAAGGATTCAATGTGGCTTCACAAGTTGAAATAATGATCCTATGCTAGGGGTCAGCACACTTTTTTTTGTACAAGGCCAGATAGTAAATCTTTTAAACTTTGCTGGCTATCTAGTTTCTGTCGCAGCTACTCAGCTCTGTTGTAGCATAAAGGCAGGTACAGACGATACATGAATGAGCAGATGTGGCTGTGTTGCAGTAAAACTTTATTTACAAGAAAGGTGGTGGCTGAGATTTGTCGATGGGCCATTGTTTGCTGAACCCCAGTCCAAATCAAAAATTGAGATTTAGTAGGATATTTAAAGCCTTTAATAGTCACCTTTATAATCACAAGATTAATGAAACCTGGTTTAATCCTATTGCAGTTGAATATGTAAGTCAAAAGTTTATGACATGATTCCAAAAGCCATATTCTTAGGATATGTTAACTTCAGCCTGATATATACCAATATGATCTTATTATTTTTATAAGACTAGTATTATGTCTTATTTTGAGTACCACATTTCAAGATCTTGCAAACAAGAATGCCTTTAATGGGGAATTGATCAGGAGGCTGAAATATCTAGGAAGTGCATCTATAGTGAGAAACAGTTGAAAGCATTGTTCCTAAGTTGGGGAAAGGAAGATTTCAGATATATAGATAGAAGGTAAATAATTGTCTTCAAATATTTATCATGTAGAAGTTGGATTACAGAATCACACTTTGAGTTGTAAAGAATCTTATAGCACATGCATGGCGCAGGAGTTGGATGGGACTAGGCTTCTTTTATAAAGAAGGACCTGGAAAACGGAAACATAATTTGGTTTAGTACTTTTGCCAGGTTAAGTAGAACTAAAATCATGAGGATATAAAATTTTTGTTCTGCTGAGAGTATCAGGCTTTTGTCATAATCAGTATTAAAGATACCTACACCACTCAAAATGTAACCCAATGTGACTCTGAATACAAGGAAATTAATGTACCAAAATTAAATAATTATTAATAATTGATAATAAGGTAAATACTTAGTTAATTTTATATTATATTTATACCATTTTCTTTACTAATAGTTTGTCTCCAGCAATCACCTGATTCTCTTGGGTGGTTATTTAGCCAAAAATAATTCTAGAATACTTAATTTAATATTATTTATTCTATGTATTTTAAAAATTGATCTGCCATTAAGCATATCAGGGTTGTTGCAGGATTAAAATGGAGGGGAATGGACTTGTTGAGACTACTGTTGTTAAGTAGTGTTCTATAAAAGGAGAAAACTCAGCCTGTCTTAGCAAGTGATGACTATGGATCAGTACTTTAGATCTCCTTATCAGAAGTTACTACTTCAGAATAATTTTGAAGAGAGGCCATTTTTCTTTTCTTTCTTTTTTTTTTTTTTAGCATATTATGGAGGTACAAAGTGTTAAGGTTACATATATTGCCCATGCCCCCTTCCTCCCTCGAGTAAGAGCTTCAAGCGTGCCCATCCCCCAAATGTTGCACATCTTACTCATTGTGGTTGTATATACCCATCCCTTCCTCCCGAGAGGCCATTTTTCTTAGCGGAAAAATGAATTCCAGAATATTGTAAATATCTTTAAAACTCCCTATTTTAAGAAAAAATACCTAGAATAAATGAGGTATATTCACATATATTAGAAAATTACATAAAATTTCAGAATTACTATGCTATAAAGGTTAGAATTAAGGGGATAAATTCATAAATCAATTGTATGGAAAACTAGTACTTTTTAGATTGCCTTCCCTTTCTACTATACTGCTTGCAAAAAAGCAAATACAGGTTGAGCATCCCTCGTCTGAAAATTTGAAATCTGGAATGCTTTAAAATCACAAACTTTTTGAGTGCCTGGCTACTGCAAGTGGAAAATTCTACGCCTGAACTCGTGAGTTCAATATATGAACTCATGTGATGGGTTGCAGTCAAAATGCAGGTGCAAAATAGTGTATTCATCATCCTCAAGGGAAAAAGAAAATTACCTGTGGACTATCTGTGTAAAGTGTATATTGGAACAAATGAATTTGGTGCTTAGACTTGGGTTCCATCCCCAAGATGTCTCACTCATTATGTATATGGGAATATTCCAGAATCTGAAATCTGAAACACTTCTGGTCCCAGGCATTTTGGATAAGGAATACTTAACCTGTATTTTGAACTCAAAAGAATCATAGGTACCACAGAATTGTAGAGTTCTCTGAATATTAATGGGTCTTCACTCACCTATTTCCACCAAAAAAAAAAAAAAATTCTGCTCAAAAAAATGTAGGCATACCCCCATAAATTAGCATGGATCTTTGAATGAGTAGGATGTGATTTATTTCCCAGTAACTATATGTATTTTCAGATTAGATAGCTTGGGTTGTTATTTGGTTTACTGAATGGCTATGTAGCTTTGCCCAATATTTATTTTGAAAAATAGTGCTTTGCATATGGTGAGGGACTAAATGAATGAATTAAAACAACTGGTAAGTCCTAAAATTTAGAGAGCTTTCTTAAAGAGATTGATAGAACCTGTCAATTTGGCCCTAAGTTCAAGCCTGTGATTTAATAAGCCCATGGTTGGCCACTGATCTACCTATACTGATAGATACAAAAATTAAGAATCTTCATAAAAATAGTTGATTTTGTTATAAATTTCATTGGTATTAAATTTTAAAATTCAAGTAAATGTTGAATATAGTACACTCATGTGACATTTCAACTGTTTTCTCCATAGTTGTTGCAATATATGATTACACAAAAGACAAGGATGATGAGCTGTCATTCATGGAGGGTGCAATCATTTATGTTATAAAGAAGAATGATGATGGCTGGTATGAAGGAGTCTGCAATCGAGTGACTGGTCTGTTCCCTGGGAACTATGTTGAATCAATCATGCACTATACTGATTAATTTTTTTTCTTTTACAGTAGGTTCTTGTTATTATTCAGTCATATTGTGGGACTATTATGGTTAACAGAATTGTCTTAATATGTTTTAAAATGTGCCCATATTTTCAGGAAATGCTGTTTTATTGGTATAATTGAATGTCTAGCTATAAGCATATATCTTTGAGACAGTTTGTGTTTTGCTAAATAGCAATTTCTACAAGTGGCTGTCCATAACTGATTATGCTTATGTACTTACACATTTTTAACTTTATGACCAGCCTAAATATTCTGGGGAAGTGGGGTATAATATTTAACAAATCATGATTCAGATTGTACCATTACATGTTTCAGTGCAGCATGGTTACTAACGCTATGTCAGACTAATATTAAAATCAGAAAACTTAAATGCTGGTGCTGGTCATAGTTTTTGTTTAGATTCTCTCATTTAAAAATACTGTTTGTTTAAAGCATGCATAAAAATTTATGTATGGAAATATACTTAAAAATTCCAAGATGCTTCCAATTTGTGTAATATTTACCTGGAGCACTCATGTTTAGGCCTCTTGAAATGAAGTGCGTCTCCAAGGTCTCCAGGTGGAACAAAAGAAACAAAAAGGGGGTTATCTGTAATGGTGTAATTTGTACCTAAGTTTTTTTAATGAGTGAAATTTGCATTATAAATTTTTTCCATTCATAAATACTTAAGTGAACCAAAGGTTTTTGTCCTTTCCTTCACTGGTTTGCTTTAAAAAAAATAATAAAAGATTTATTGCAGAATTATGGTTCTATTTTCTCAGTATATTAACTTGGAAAAAATTTTTAGCCTTATCTCAGTCTGTCCCAACAGCAATGTGATGGATTTTTGCAGATTCAAAGTCCGAGACGGTTATTTACAAGTCAATCTACTGAATTCCTTTTTCAAAGTAACTTTTGAAGCTACGAATATCTGTCAAAGTGTTCACATGCATTCTGTAGGTAAAATTCTTAAGGATTGCCATATCAGTCCTTCAGTTTTACAGTGGACTTTTGTACACTGGTTCAATGAAATTATAAGTATCTTTTACATATTGTAAAAGTGGATGCAATTGATTTGTGAATAGGCTACCTGGCACTAGCAACATTAAGATTTTAAAATAAAATAATTGGGGGAAATGGTGGGTCATGTATTAATCAGTGAACAGAGATATATACCTATCCAACAGATTTGTATTATCTTTTGACATAATTGAAATGCAATACATGCACTTTGTGTGTCTCTTAATTTAAGGGAAGGTTAGCGGGATGTTTTCTCTTGTGTATAATTCTGTATTGCTTAGGATATTAAAGTAGAGCACTCAAGTGTGGGTTTCTGTGTATTGAGGATTTGTTTGGATTTCAAATTACAGTTTATGTACTGGACGTTACAGACTTATAACAGCATAGTGAATGGTAAGACTAGTACAAAACATTTATTTCTGAAAATTAAAGAACATTGCTACCAAATCAATGTGACTGTTTCATATGCATTTTGCCTTTGTTAATTTTAAACCAGGTATCATTAGTGATCAGCTAGCTACCTTCTACTTTTCATTTTTTAAGTGGAATGTTCTCTTAATTTGTATATAACCTGTCTGTTGTCTAAATTTTATGTACAGTCTTTTATAATAAACCATTCTCCTATATGGAATTTTGGATACTGTTAAAATACAACTAATGTGGACTTAAATGCAGACTTCACAGTTTTCTGACCTTTACTCCTGAGGTGAAATAAGACAAACCATTTGAATTTTAACATTGATCATTGATTATTTATTTGTGTAATGGCTTTACATGTGGATATTAACAGTGTAAACAATACCACATATAACCATCAAGATACCTCGATTCAAATTTATAGGACCAGAATGACAGATTCAGATGGCTTAATTACATTTAAAAAGTTTTCTGAAAAAACACTGCCAATAAAAAAAATTGCCCATCAATAAGGTTGATATTATTTTTTAAAATGATTTTTGGTTATGTGCACATGAAGCAAAGTGTATTCCACAAAATTCTTTAGGCACAGTCTGGTAAAATAGCTGCCAGAAAGAACAGAAGGAATTGTCATTTATCTCTAGTGAGTACGATTTCTGAAAGTTGAATGAGGGCATCTCTTTCTGGGGATGGTCGAAGTTTACTGATCTCTCTTATTGCTTCATGGCAGTACCGCTGGGCGAGGTAGGTTGTTTGCTGCACACCATCACTCTACAAGACACAGAACAAAACAGAACAGATGCCTGTCACTGACTGTATCAGTGCTTAAATTCCTCCTATAGTGGATTAAAACATACTTTTGAGATCAGATGAGCTGAAGGGTCAGTTATACAGTTAATAGCCAAACTATGTTTCTAGTGTTCTCTTTCCAACTCATAGTGCTAGTAACTTCCTCTGGCTGCTTTTAGGCCCTTTTCTAAGATTGAAGCAGTTTTTATTCTATTAGCATGCAAAGCAACTAACTAACTCATTGATACCAAGCATACTCTATCTTGCTGTATTTTTTTACTTCAGTATCAGAGTTTTTTTTTTTTTTAATTTTTTTTTGTTTTTAGCTGGTAAAACTCAGGTGAAAGTATCAGAGTTTTTAAAAAGTTCTATACATACAAAATACTTTTATACAAAAATTTAAATGAAAAAACCTAAAGTAAAAAATAAAAAAAGAACTCAGATACAGTAAAATGAAATTCTAGAGGGCTTATGATGAAAATCAACAGTTCGTTTCTCCCAAAGGTACCAGCTGCATCCATTAATTTCTATTTCTTATTAATTTTAGTTATCTATCCCCCCCCCCCCTTTTTTGAGACAGAGTCTCACTTTGTTGCCCTAGCTGACAGCAACCTCAAACTCCCGGGCTCAAGCAATCCTCCTGCCTCAGCCTCCTGAGTAGCTGGGACTACAGGCATATGCCACTATTCCTGGCTAATTTTTTTCTATATATATTAGTTGGCCAATTAATTTCTTTCTATTTATGGCAGAGACGGGTCTCCCTCTTGCTCAGGTTGGTTTTGAACTGCTGACCTGTAGCAATCCGCCCCTCGGCCTCCTAGAGTGTTAGGATTACAGGCGTGAGCCACTGCACCCGGCCTATTTTTTTTTAAGATGATGATTTAGCATCTCCATACTGTGCCTCCTAGTTGGATCATTATATTACCACCTTTAGTCCTTCTGTAGATTACCTTTGTTATCATGCAGCATCGATTTCTGATTTTATAATGTATGAGGGTACCAGTGCTTCTGTCCTTTCCTCAAACTATACTGTCACACTATAGATTTACATTCTATTATGTAACCATGTTTTTAGTATTGGTTCTTTCTAAAAGCAGAACACTAATAAAGTATTTATTATTTCTATGATGTAAAAATATTTACTGCAGAATCAAGTCATATACTGTAATTTTATTTCCTTCTCCATGGCTCATGATCTTTGTCATTTAAAGGAGAACATTCTTAACATTATGGTTTGAAAAGCCTCTGATTTTCTGTACTCTACTAATTTTCTTAAAAAAATGACACATTTTAGTTTGCTGTGCTTTTTTGTACAGAAGCCTGCCTTCTCTTCATGTTTCTGCACTTTTTGCCTTAGTACATATGCAAACAACCTACCCAGAAAGTGTGCATGGGAAGTCAACTTTTTAGTCCTTATGTGTGATTTTCTTTTGCTTTCAGATTTAATGGATGGTTTAAGTGAGTATAGGCATTCTAGGTTTAAAATGTTTTCTCATCATTTGGAAGGCCTTGCTCTACTCCTTCTAGCATCTAGTATTTTTGCTATACATACCAGTTTTGATATCTTTTCCTTTTGTAGGTGACCACGTTTTTTATTCCTGAAATATTTGTTACATGACTGTACTGATCCTCTTAGCTTTTCTCATTTTGCATTTCTTCCCCTTCTGTTTATACCTTTGGAAGATTTCCCCAATTTCAGATGGTAACCCTTCTTTGGAGTTAGTTTTTCACAATCATTTTCAATTTCTTAGAGCTTGCTCTTATTTTAAAAATATTATCCTGTTTTTTTTGTTGTTGTTGTTTGTTTTTGAGACAGTCTCACTCTGTTGGCCAGGCTAGAATGCAGTGGCGTCAGCCCAGCTCACAGCAACCTCAAACTCCTGGGCTCAAGCGATCCTTCTGCCTCAGCCTCCCGAGTAGCTGGGACTACAGGCATACACCACCATGCCCGGCTAATTAATATATATATATATTTTTTATATGTTTAGTTGGCCAATTAATTTCTATTTATAGTAGAGACGGGGTCTCGCTCTTGCTCAGGCTGGTTTTGAATGCCTAACCTTGAGCAGTCCATCCCCCTCGGCCTCCCAGAGTGCTAGGATTACAGGCATGAGCCACCGAGGCTGGCCCCTGGCTAATTTTTTCTATATACTTTTAGTTGGCCAATTAATTTTCTTTCTATTTTTAGTAGAGATGGGGTTTCGCTCTTGCTCAGGCTGGTTTTGAACTCCTGACCTTGAGTGATCCTCCCACCTTGGCCTCCCAGAGTGCTAGGATTACAAGCGTGAGCCACTGCGCCTGGCCCTGTTCTTATTTTATTTTTCCCAAGTCATTATTTTTGTTTATTTTGGTCTCTCTTGTTCAGGAAACTTTAATCACTGAGTTGTCCATTCACATTTAATGATGGACTAGGGACTAGATTTAGAAGCTCTATAGGTGAACAGGGAGCTAGAATTTAGAAGACTTTGGAGAATTTGTTTAGAGAACATTCCTGTGGGGTTTTTTCTATGTGCATTTCTGGGTGGGATGGCTGGAAATTCACTATTTTCATTAGAGCTACAATTAATTTCACTCTTTTCGGTCCCACTTCTCACTCTACAGTAATACTGTTATTTCTGAAGCCAGAACCTCTCCCAAGGACACTGACTCCTTTATCAGCTACAGCTCCACCTTTAGATTTTATAGTATTGCCAAACCAACCTCCAAAAAAGCAGCAACCCATATTAGATTATAATGCTTAACAGAACAGTCATAAGTATATCCTTTTTGGAAGGGGGAGGAGGTTGTTTTTTAAATGTTTTAAAGATATGAAAGGTAATTATTTGGGATTATTTCATGTAATGCACTAAGTATAGATCATGTCTGCTTACTAACAGTTGTTTGCTCGATCCATCTCATTCACTAGATCTGTTGGTTCCAAATGACTTGGAACTTGGGGATAGCTCATTCTCAAAAGACAGCCACCCAAACTGAAAATTTGCAAAGAGTTGACTTCTACAGAAAATGTTTGAAGATACATGGCAATATATTTGAAACAAGCCACTAGCCCCTGAACATGGAGTTAAACAGTTCTTTCTTTAAAAGAAAAACATTTCAGTACAGTTTGCCTATGTTGGTTTTGATTTTTTTATTGATAATTTCTTCAGTCACCTTTGTAACAGTTAATATACGATGGACTCGAGAGGCCAGTTATGAACAGACTATTGCAAGAGCCCGGCTGTCACGGCTCGAGTGCGTGGGGGAGGCTGGAGGGAGTCTGGCGGCTGGGAACAGTGGTGCTACTGAGGGATGTGGGGAGGCTGGTTCCAGACCGGTGGGTCTCAACCCTTCCTTCTCATTAGAATCACTTGGGTAACTTTTTAAACAAAATTAATGTCCAAGCATTACCCAAGACTATTTAAGCTAAAATCTTTGGGAAGCAGCCTAGAAGAAAAATGAAAATTAATTGAAAATAAGAAAAATGCCTTTTCCCTTCTCAGTTTTTGTCAAGAGTTGACTAAATGTAGTCTTGCATCTAAAATTTGTTACATTATTTGTTTTGTTAAAGGAATTTGCTACATTATACCCTTTTTCCTTTTAAAAATAATCTTACCTGTAATACATACTGTCGAGCTCTGTCCACATCTCCTGGCAAACTGAACCGTCTCATTATCATAGCATTCATTTCTGGAAACTAACCATAAAGAAAGAAAATCTATTTATTGCTCTTGAGAGAATGAATAGAATGTTCTAACATTAGTTTGTAATGACAGGAAATAACAGAAACAAAAAAAAGTGACAAAATGTCTAGATGATGTGGGGGAGCAATAAACTGTAGCAACTAAAGGTGAGCTAAGGGAGACATCCACTGTCCATGCCTGGGCATTGCGTGGTACACAGGAAGAGCAGCCATTGAGTCTTGTGTTCGTTCTGATATTCTATCCTTAGTCCCAATATTGAGTAAGAGAGGCAGGAGGAATAAAGTACCTCTTTAGAACAATATGGTTCTTATCCTTTAGATTGCATCAGAACACCTGTACAGCCGGTTGGTCCTCTCCCCCCGAGATTCAGTTCAGTAGGGATGGGATAGGCATGCATTTGTAACAAATTCCCAGGTGATGCTGAGACTTTTTGTTTCTGCTGACATTTTGAGAATGACTGGCCTCGGATGGTGGTGGGAATTAGGCATTTCACTCTAAGTACTAAAATTGAGTGCCATTTGAAAGCTTTTGAGGTTTCTGAGCAGAGGGTATTTATGAGCGCACATAGCTCTGCCAAGCAGCTTATAGTGTGGATTTGAGCAATGGCGCTTGACACTGAGTGTATACTGGGAACATCTGAGGCAGTTTAAACACCACTGCCTGGATCCTCTTCCCAAAGATTTAGATTATATTGGCTTGGGGTTTAGCCTGGGCATCAGGGTCTTCAAAACTTCCCAGATGTTTTAAATGTGCAGCCAAGGTTGAAAATGATTAAGTTTGAGGAGACAGAGGTAGAGCTACCAATCAGGTTACTGTACTGAATTACAAAAAGGACCAGAATTAAGCTGATGGCAATAAGACAGACAGAAAGAAAACAGGTACAAAAGGCAGTGAGGATAAAAATCAATGTTCTACAATACTTAGCAACTGTTTGGGAGCATTTCCAACATTAATAGAACAAGAACGTGAAGACACCAAATCACTTCACTTCCTAGATCCCAGCTCTAGCCTTGGTTTTACCCCCAGCTGCCACATCTGAGTGAGTTTCTTAATCTCTTAGGTGTTAGCCTCTCTATCTGTCTCATGATCTGAAATCCTTCAGTTATGACAGTTCGTGATTCCATGGAGTAAGAGTTAAGATGTCTTTGGTCCTGGACACGTGCTTACAGCAGTTGCCAGTTTTTCCCTGGCAATGAACTGAGGAATGAAATAAGTTGTTGTCCTGTAACCATCACATGGTATTAGTAATCCTAGAAGAAAACATTGGGTACACATAGAAAAACCTCAACCAAATGATGGCAGATGAAGTAATATAACGTTCCTTTCAGAGCAAAGTAAGAGTTAATACAAAGTTCTAAACCTGTAGAGGTTGTTAATATGCCTATAGAATTTAAAGAGCCAGCAACTGCCTTGTTCTTAAATGAAAGCCAATAATTTGCTTTAGTTACTGATCTTTCAAGGATAATTTAAGGTTTACAAGAAGGGAATTGGGAAAGCCCAAATCAATCAATTTTTGTGGTAAAAAGCCAAATCAGGTAGGCATTTGTTTTAGTTTTTTTAATACCACATCCCCAAACGGGGTATCTACCTGGTCATATCCTTAACACTGATGTGATCCTCTCCTGGGCTTCTGGTCAAATCATCTTGTTTATAGTGTTGAAGCTTTTCCTGCAGTACCAAGTGTGGAAAAATGTGCTGACTGGGTGGTTTCTCTGATGCTTTTTACTATAAAAAGCACTGAGAAAGCAAAATTTGACAAGTATTTGCATTGAGTGTGACTATATCCTTCCTTCAAAACATGTAGAGTGTGCAATTTTAATATGTAAATACCAAACTCTTCCCCTAGGCACTCCCCCAGCCCCTCAGTGTGTATGTGGAGAAGAAACGAGAAACATAACAGGAAGAACAGTTGCCTGCCTGCAGATTTGGTGAGAAATAAGAAAGATTTTGTTTGCTCAGGCTGTGTTTTTAAGAGTAGGCAAACCACCCGTGAATAAATCAGGTTCTAACTCTGTGAAATCTGTCCATATTATAAACTACCAATGTGATAAGTAAACTGGATTAAGTTTACCCAAATAAAACTTGGGTAACTCTAAGGCACCAACTAGTTACCGCAACAGCATAAGCCTGTGCAGCTGGTGCAGGGGATGGTGGTGACAGGTGGAAATATGGCTGGAGCCTGACATTTAGGTCTAGTGACTTAGCAAATAAGGAGAAACACAGAAGAAAGGAAAACATTTCCATTTTGTTTCTGAGGATTCCAAACTCCAATCAACATAATGTTTTTGCTCTTGAAGAAAATATGTACGACACATAATACTGTCATCCCTGGGATCTCTCTAGAAATCCTGAAACTTTTTTCTTAAATCCCCTGTATCAAATGTTATCCCCTGCACCAATCCATTCAGAGAGATGTTAAAAACAGTGGTATTCACAGGAGAGGGAATTTCTGTCCAGTGTTGGGTTCAGCAAATTCCAAGACAACCCATCATGCCAACTTAAAAAGATAAAAGTGGTTTCCCAAGACTGCTTGTTCTAGTCCAGAGAGACTTGGGCTATGTTCATTAATGGAGAAGTTCAAAGACTATCTAAGCTGCAAATAAAACTCACCTACCTGTAGAAAAGGATTACAAACATCTCACAAGTGCTCCACTAAATAGGAATGTTAATCACAAAAATCAAGGTGTGACACAGGCTATTTTTTAATGTCGTCAGTGCAAGGGTGGAACAGGTTACCTGCTCTGTGGGAAGACCTGCCTGGCATCATACACACCTGTCCCGTACTAGCTTTATCAACATAACCAGTGGCAGTGGTAACACAGGGGACAGTAAGATGAATACTGGTCTTAGAAGACTCGTTCAGCTGCCTGCTGTGCTTTTTACCAGCTGCTTAATTTTGGTGAGGTGTGTCAGTTTATTTGTAGAACAGATATCAGAATATATGCCACAAATAGGAGTTGTGAGATTAGAGATAACAGATGAAAAAATCCTTTGTAAACTAAAAATGCATTTTCATGAAAAGGAGACACTGCACAATCTCATGCTATTTTTGTAGAACTTGTTTTACCGAAAATTAATTTTAGTCCTGTAAATCTTTTGACAGATTTCTTGCTAAAAAGCCCCTTTTTGACAGCATAATCCACAGTAGAGTCTAAGTTTGCTGTTTTATTAGAAAAACAATTTATAAATACAAATTTGACTAACTCTGGCCCATGTGCCACAAGTCAGAGAAATCAGTCTACTTTTGAAATGAGTCCTGTCCAGAGTCACTTCCTGCTGGACTCGGTCTGTGTTCCCTTTTCTGAAGCTGCAGTGCGCCCTTTAGACTCCTCTTCCCCTTGCCTCACGGGCAGATGACAAGAGTGCTGTCTGCTGAGAGTGAGTGGGCACCTCATGACTCTGGGATTTCCCAGGGAAGCACACACGAAACCGTGGTTTGGGGCGCTGTAACCTTTTTTGTTCTTTTTGCTTTAAAAAACAAAAAAAATCCCCACTATTTTTCAGTCTCTTATAGATTACTGACAGATCAGTGTGTAGGAGGGGTCCATTTCCCACCCATCCTCCTCGCCCCCATTATATGCGAAGGCAGAATTAGCCATCACTCCTTTGTGTAAAGGAAAGTTAGTTACTTTTGAAGTATGTTCATAGTGAAACACAAGCAGAAATAGGCCAGCCTGTTCTCCCCTGGTCACCTTACGGTTTAAGTAGGATTGTACTTACCATCATGGGACTCAGGACAAGATTTATAACTGGTAAGATTCCAAAAGTATAGCAACCAAACTTTTTAGTAGACTGTAAGTTGCTTCAGGGAAGGTCTTGTTCCTTAGTTAATTACCGTGGCAATCCCAGAACCCAGCTAAATGAATCTTTACTGAGCTGGCTGGGTTTCAGCACACTCAGTCCGTCTTAATGTTCTTTACTCACATTTACTAACCGGCATCTGAGGAGCAGATTAATGTCTGTAGCTGTACAGACGGTAGCCAGTGACTCATTTTTCTAATCTCAGGCATACTTTTACATTTGCATTTCTAATCTCATGCATACTTTTTTGTGGGTTTATGGTAAAACAAAATACTCCTCACTCATGCTTTCGTGTATGAAAAGGAGTTTTATAAATTACTGTCAGAACTTGACACGTGTATTAATATGTTCTCTGAGTTCTGGCTGGCAAGGTAGTCTCACTGGGAGGAGATCCATTTATAGCACACCTTTCACTTCTCCCCTCGGCCTCAAAAGTTTGAGGGAATGGAGCTTAGCAATAGTGAGGACAGATGTTTTTACAAAGTGCCCCAACATCTGCATTCACAGCCCGCAGTCCTCGTGTGGCTGCTGTCCACGGTATGTTGCCCAGGGTGACCTGGCCCAGCCACCCAAGACATCAGCCTCTCCAGGGAAGAATCACCCTGGCAATGGCTTTGCTGCATGGTGGACAAAAGGTTATCTTTCCTCTCTCAAATCAGAACCTCATCAAAAGCAAGGTCACTGTTTGTGTATCAAAATGGAACCACCAAGTTCTATGAAGGACATGAATCATCTTTGTAAATTTTAAGGCTAGGGGCAAAGTCTTTGAAAGACTAAAAGTTACTAACATGTTAGACCAAAGAGCTAGTTTTTAATTTCATGACATGATGATAAACATCTTCATTGTTTTGCCAAATAATGAGTTAAATACTAAGATGAAAATCTATTAAAAAGATGTCCAAGCACCAGCTAATGTCTCACTTACTTTAAATAACATTTGGTACAGCCAAAAGCAACGTGGCCAGGGTCCAGAGCAGGCTGTGAAAATGTCTGCTTTATAAGTCGCTGCAACGTCTTTGAAGCTTTGTAAGCGTTTCATCCATACCAAGAGTATGAAGGCAGCTTGACTTCCTTCGTTCCTTGACAGCCCCTCCATCTGGAGGAGGGACTGTGTGCAAAGACCTAGTGCATTCCACTGACTTCTTGACAGTTTGAGGCAATGGCTGAGGCTCTGAGACCTCTCTCAGAGCAGCACAGTCCATTAAACTTCTAGAACTGGAGACTTTCTCAGAATTTCCTATGGTTGGAGGCCCTGACGCTTCCTGTGCCTCAAGGGGCTCTGAGGAACACCAGAGCCCAGTCCTGTGATCAAGATGTGGAAACCATTCACCTTGCCAGGGCCGAAAATATGGAAATAATGATAATAATGCTACTTAAATACTTCTCGCACTTCACAGTTTATAAAGATAAGGAATAGTTACCTCAGATAATCCTCACCACCACTCTGGGAGGAAGGTTATAATTTTTTCAAGGAAACAGGCTTACAGAGGTGAGATGACTGGCTCTGAGATCTCAGTCACAGAGCCAAGATCCAGTCTAGGTCTACGGTCTCTTATCTAAATGCCTTCCCATCTATTCCTTTCCTCAACCTTCCCATCAGCTGTGCCTGGAGACCCTGGTTCTGCAGGGCTGCCCACCGGTGTGGCAAGAGTAGATTGTGAAACCTACCTGCTGAGAAGCAAACAAGACAGGGCCAGTGGCCAACCCAAGCTTCAGATCAGCTGATGTTGGTTTGCCCATCTGGTCAGAACAGGAGGTGAAGTCCAACACATCGTCTATTAGCTGGCAAAAGGAAAAAGGGAACGTGAAAAGCACCACTACGCGCGAACATCACTGCCACTATTCTCGCTATTAGATTTACACCCTGGGAGAAAATGTCAACTGCGCCAACACACCACCATTCTTACAGATAAGCAGCATACCAACCTGAAAAGCTATGCCCACGTTTTTTCCATATTGATAGGCAATCTCATGCACCACTGGGTCAGGGCATCCTAGAACGGAGACCTGAAACACAAAGGGGATTCTGAGAAACTGCCACCAGACAGCAACAGGTAGCTGGCCGCTTGGTGGAGTCATGCGTGCATTCCTTTAAATGAGGTCGTGAGGGTAGATGATGTACAGGAGCGACTACACCAGGAGGAGACCAAGCATGTACAAGATGGTGTTTTCCATGAAAGAATTTCAGTCTCAAATTGTTTTCTTAAATACTAAGTAAACTATCCTTTCCCCAAGCCCCCTTTCTTACTGGATAAGCAGTCTTTCCACTGCTAAGGAAAAACTGAGCTACAACTAGACTAGTTCTGCTGGTAATATGCTAAGTAAACCTTTCTGACATGCAAAAGAAATGGACCCTAGCGTGTGAAACACTGGCTCCCAGCACCCAGCAAACTGGCCCAGTTGTTGTTGGCTTTAATAACCTCTACTGATTGATCCTTTGTATTGGGGCTAGAGATCTGATGTAATGACACACGGTGCTGCCATGTATTTCCCCATCTCTAGTCCTTTCTCTTAATCATCTTTGGTGAGTTCACTGATTCTGAATGCAGCTGTTTACTGATATGTCTGTAATAGCCTTAAGCCTCGTGCTTCAGACACAGACATCATTTCACATCAGAAGGATTGTCACTGGTCTTACTATTTCCATATTTCTCTCACAAGAACTAATATAACTGTATAAAAGCTGCCCCCCTGCCCACTTTCAGTGGGGAGAAACTGGAGGCTTCTGAAAGCCTTCTTTAATCTCCAAAAAAAATCTAGCTGGCACCGGCCCCGAGCGCGTTTCCCACTGCTGTGCTGAGCGTGCTAAGCAGCCCAGCCGCGTGTGCAGAAAACAAAGCCTGGGCAGAAACCAGAGGGGGCGGGGAGAGACAGTCCCTGCTGTACCGGACAGGAAATGTCTACACTGACTCGATGAGAAAGCCAGACAGGGCTCTGCAGTCTCCGTTCCATAGGGACGGCTGATGACAGGCCCGTCCGCTGACCTTCAGTCCCTACCTCTGTGGTTCTCTGCGCGGACACAGGTATGGCCCGGCGGTGCCAGCCCTGCAGTTAACTGCCAGGGTTGGATTCGTGCCCCTCACAGTTACCAAGTGACCGTGGCATGTTACTTAATCGTTCTGTGCTTCAGTTTCCTCATCTGTGACATGCAGAAATAAAACACTTGCCTCATAGAGTTGCTGGGAGAAATAAATGTGGGGGCTATATTTAAGCCCGTAGTATAGTGCCTGGCATCTGGTTAGAACTCAATATATGTTTGCTATTGTTAATAACCACCCTCCTCCTCCTCCTCCTCCACTGGATCCAGAAGCAGGAGCTTTGGCAATGTCCCTGCACCTCTGCTAATTCACGCCAGATCACGTAATGTCCTTCCTTAGCCCTGTGACTTTGACAACTAAGGAAGCCTGTGACTGTGTAACCCTTGGCTGTTAAATGCATCATAAAACTGCACACACCATAAAAGTCCAGGTGGCTACTTACCCGAGTGGATAAAAAGCTCATAGCTGCTTTCAACAGCGAAGACCTTACCACTAGCGGCCACTGACCCACGGGCTCCTCTTTTCAACTAAACAGTCTGGGAGACCATGGAGGACAATTTAGAAACTTCGGAAGAAGCCAAGATACCCATTATTCATCAACTTGGCTCAAAGGATGAGAGCGTGGCAGGTTTGGGCTGCCCGGGATAAGTGGAGCCCAGACATTCCTTTCCCAAGGCAGAAATAACTGATAATCTCTCCTGTAGCGAGATTAATGCCATTTCCTCAACACAAAGCCAAACAGAAATATACACTTTCTTCCTGAAAAGTAAGAGATTTTAAAAAAATTATTTCTAAACTTAATGAATGAAAAATTTATGGAACACGTATGATCCGCACTTTGTATTATTTTAACTAAACCTCACACTATCCCATAAATACTTATGAGGCTGGGAGTGGTGGCTCACGCCTATAATCCCAGCTCTTTGGGAAGCTGAGGTGGGAGGATCTTGATGTCAGGAGTTCGAGACCAGCCTGGGCAACACAGTGAGACCCTATCTCTAAAAAAAATTTCTAAAAACTTGGCTGCGTGCAGTGGTGCACACCTGTAGTCCAGCTACTCTGGAGGCTGGGGTGGGAGGATTGCTTAGCCCAGGAGTTCAAGCCTGCAAAGAGCTATGATCACACAACCCACACCCCAGCCTGGGTAACAGGGTGAGACCCTATCTCAAAACAAACAAAATCTTATGTGGTCGATGATAAAAGCTAACAATTCCTGAGCATGCACTATATGTGTGCTCCCTACTCACATCTGCTAATAGAGAAATGAGCTCCGTTTCAACGGGCAGCTTCTGCCTCACACACGGTGGAAGAGCAACTAATTTACTTAGATTTCAACTACCACAGGGTAAAGACCACCCCAGAGTCCTGTCCCCCAGCCCAGGTAAGGACTGTCTGGACCTACGGCAAGAAAACCGAAAACTGCTACCACAACTAGGAAACTCAGATGCAACCCAGCACGACACACTCAGTGGCAAGGACGGGTACCCACTCGGAAGGAATGCCACTTGCTTGCGCCCAGCATGAGAGATGCCTCACATCTTTCTGCAAGTGGGCGGAGCATGAAAAATGATTAAGTCCAAGAAAGTGGAGCTCGACTAATTGTTCTGCTTGAGGCAGATGCTACAGGGGGCTGCGTCGTGCACATGTGCTTCTTTCTGGGGAAGGTCCACACCTTGCATCACAGGCCTGTGAGTCTTCTGACTGGGAAGACTGTTTGCACTGGCAGGGGCAAACACCTTATAGTTTTATATTTATCCAACCTCTCTATATTTGTTGGCTTTTTAAAATTATTATTTGTTTTTGAGATAGGGTCTTGTTTTGTCACCCAGGATGGGGTGCAGACTATTAGCTCACCGCAACCTCAAATTCCTGGGCTCAAGGGATCCTTCTTGCCTCAGCGTCCCAGATAGCTGGGACTACATGTGTGTGCTACCATGCCAGGTCTAAGCAACTCTATCTTTGAAGTGTGTGTGTGTGTTTATGCCACCATAAGCATATTCTGATACATACATGTATTGTGACATTAGTTATTTAAAATGGTGAAGCATGCTGGGTGCAGTGGCTGACACCTGTAATCCTAGCACTTTGGGAGGCCAAAGCAGGAGGACTGCTTGAAGCCAGGAGTTCAAGACCAATCTGAGCAAGAGTGAGACCTCGTCTCTACAAAAAATAGAAAAATTAGCTGAGCATGGTGGTGCTGTAGTCCCAGCTACCTAGGAGGATAGCTTGAGCCCCGGAGTTTGAGACCAGCCTGGACAATACAGCAAGACTCCGCCTCAAAAAAAAGAAAAAGAAAAATAGCGGAGAGCATTTGAGCTCCACCACCAAAGAAAATAACATTAAAATGGGGTGTTGTCAAAAACCAACTGAAAATATTGGGAGAAAACATGTGCAACATAATATCATGATAAAAAGCTAATATAAATATTAATATATAAAGAGCTCTTACAAACTGGGGGGGGGAGACAAAACACCCAATAGAAAAATGGGCAAAGGACATGAATAGACAATTCACAGAAATGAAACTGTAAGCAAAAACAGCTCTTAACCATCTGAAAAAATGTTCATATCTTCTGTGACAATCCCTTCTTTAGGAGAAAGAAAAAAAAATGAAAAAATGTTCAGCTTCACTCAGAAAGGAGAGACGTAAAGTAAAACTCCATGGCAAGATGGCCTCTATTAGGTTGGCAAAAATTCAAAAGTCTAATGCCACATTTAGTGAGTAAGGATGCGGGGATAGGCAGGACACTCATCAACTGCTGGTGGAAACACACACTGGGACAGCCCCAATTGAGGGAAATTTGATAGTGTCCAACAAAACTACACACGCCCTAAATTTACCCTGAAAACACACTTCTCATGACACAAGAGCACATTTACACAGGTTAGCTGTTGTACTATGATTTGTAATTGTAAAACCTAAAAGCCCTGTATATAGAAGTGTGGCTCAGTAAACCATGCTACATCCATACAATGGGATATATAGCTGTTTTAAAAATGAGGAAGATTCTACTCGTTGACATAGAATCATTTGCATAATATATTGATATTTGCGGAAAGCAAGGGGCAAAAGCAAAACAAACGAATAGTCCAGTATCCTGCTTATTGTTGTAAGAAAAAAGGGAAAATAACACAGTAATACATGTGTGTGCTCATTTGTGCAAAAAGAAACAGAGGAAGGAGGAACCAGAAACTCATGAGACTGTTCCTTGTGGTGGCGGGGGTGGGGTGGGAACAGGGCAACGGCGTGAACAGGGAGTCAGCCTTTTGTATAGTTCTGACTTTTAGGGCTATGTTAATGTTTCAAACACTCAAAATAACAAGAAAACCCTCAAAACCAAAACACAAAATCAGAATGGGAGGGAGCCCCTAAAATGGAATAAAAATGAATAGAACTATGAATAAAATCAAATAATAACATAACCACACTGGTGTTAGATGCATTTGGAGCTATCAGTATGATTCCTCATTTTGAATAACTATGAATAGACATAGAAAGACATATCCACACACATATATGTATTTCCTAGCTCTGTCCACTGAAAGCCCAGAAATAATGATACCCAGCCCAGATTTTGTTTCTAGACACCACTGTCCACCACAAGGAACTTGGGCTCCTTAGAGAAATGTTGGATCCCAGGGCTGGGAAGTACAAAGTGAGCCTGGAACATCTCCTGCAAAAGGGAAGGGAGTGCTGAAAGAATGATGGGGTCATGTTGAAAGGTCACGGGAGTCAGCATAAAGGGCCTTCTCCATTGGCCAAATATGGGACAATTGAGCATTCAAATAAATAATGATAATGAATTATAATCCATAGACTAAAATAAGAATCCAAGAGCACGTAAGATAAGAGCTTCCTTACAATAGAATATCAGTTCTATTGTAGAGTGATAAAGAAGGAATGACGGAATTAGAAAAAGTGCCATTTGGCAGCCATCACAGTAATAACTGCCTCAGGAAAGAATCATAAAGAGATGCTAAAACCAGAGGGTGAGAGTTTGATGAGAAACTGCATATTTACATAATCTGAAAATACTTCCTCCAAAACAGGGAGAAATAGTAATTTTAGAGGGAAGAAATCTGGCAGATACCACCCTAATCAAGTGATCAAAGCACACATCACAGTTAATAGGCTAGAGAGATGGCATGTGCCTCCCAGTGTGATAAACTGAGAAGACAGCATCATTTCTGTTGTGTTCCTGCCAAAACTTCATAGCCTGAATCTAATCTTCAAAAAATAGCAGACAAACCCAACTTGAGAGGCTCAACAGCATAACTGGGCTACATTCTTCACAATATCTGGGTAGTAGAAGACAAAGGCAGACTAAGGAAATGTTCACATCAAAAGAGATTAAAGATTCATGACAACCAAATGTAACATGAGATCCTGGATTGGATCCTGGACTGGAAAAATTGTTTTCCTTTTTTAGAACAGTTTTTGGGCAATTGACAAAATTTCAATAAAGCCTACAGATAAATAGGGATATCATTAAAAACAAACAAACAAACAAAAAACACCCCAAAAACCAGTGTTCTCTGCTAACATGACCTACAAAACAAAGCTCTACAGTACACTCTGGAACTTTGAAAATAAAATAACAGGAAGAGAGTCCATTGATTCCAGGCCACAAGTAGGCCTGGAGAAAATAGAAATTCAGCAAAAAATCATGAGAAAAACAAGGCAGGATTTCCTTACCCAGTTCTGAGTTCAGGTCCCAGCTTAGCCACTGTCTAGCTGAGTAACACTGGACAGGCCACCTGACTTCGCAGGTCTCAATCCCATCAGATTTTCTAGGGAACAAGTCACACCCTTCACTGGTAAGCTACAGAATGTATTTTGCACGACTGTCTATGCAAATAAATAGCCAATCATCTTTTGATAATAAAATCAATTCTATTTTAATATCAGAGTTACAACAATCCACCTAGATGGCCTCTGCTTTGAGATTTTAATATTTCCACTAAAAATACAATTAGAAAAGGGGGTTGTGAATAAATGGTATCCTTAGTAGAATGAATTATAAGCTTTTAAGCTTTATAAGTTTCCTTCAAATTCCCAAAACATTTAAGAATCCCATTAGTTCTATAATAATTCTGATCTTTAAATTCTCTGTATCCTCTCTTTTTGGTATGTCTAATTGCTTTGCATGCATTCCTTTGGAGCTCGCATGGCTTTGCATTTTAAATACCAAGAGTACATAAAAATAGCAATTTTGAATACATAACACCTCTGGAATATTTCTACCCATAGGCACTTAAATATAGAAACTTGTATTCAAAGAGCTCACACACCATGATTTTGCTTTATTATTCTGACTGCTCAGGAGTTCAGGAATAAATCACATGCAAAGTAGGCAGTTGTGGGACGATGCCAGCATGCCTCCTAGTGGTCAGCACAGAACGTTTCGTTTGAGCCATGCTGATGTACATGTCCACTGTTTAGCTGCTCATCTTTGAAGCACTGGGGTGCTCTTTATAAAAGAATACATGTGCACTATCTTTGGCTTCTTAAGCAGAGGGCAGTGACCATAATTAAGACTTTCCTGAAGTGTCAGGTCCATCTCCTCGGACCCTCGGTAAGGTTCCGTTACTGAGTGAATTTCTGTTCTGGCTCCAATGCCCTCCTGTGCCTGGGGGAGGTCTACTCTGTGTGAACAGTGACTCTGTTTCCAATTCCTAACCTAAAGGGCCCTACCTACTAGTGTTTCTCAATGGCCGTCCCAAACTTGTGACATTATCAGTGAGCTTCACTTAACTCACTCATGTGTTGTAAGAGGGTGGATCTTGATCTTCAGGGAGCCTGGGGTCACCAAGGGTATGAGACTCAATGAACAGCTTTATGGCACCCACTCTAAATGGGTCATTTTCTTATTGAGCACCCAGTGTCTATTGCATTTTCTTCTGCTTCTTTTTTTTTTTTTTTTTTAAAAAAAAACACATTTGTAATTTCTTGGAAAGATAAACATAATAGCCCTTTCAAGAAAAAGACAAAAATGCCTGAGATTATAGCTAGCATGTTCTACATAATTCACATTCTTTAGGGTTTTGATTAAGTCTTTTTAGGAAGAAAATGTCTTCATTCTTTTCTTTTCCTGCCCACAATTAGACATTTCTTGACACTTTTCAAAATAGATACTGTCAGCAAGGGACTTTTTCATCTGACAGGTCTGAGAAAAAAATCTTTAACTTTAGTTATGTTAGGAGTATATCTTGACAGCAGTTTACATTTGACCCCAAAAAGTTTTCCTTTCTTGTGGCTTTAATTACATGGGACTGTTACTTGTCTAACTTTTGTCTCTGTAACCTGTTAGGCTAAGAGATGGTCAGATGAACAATTCTGTGAAGAGATTGTTTCTCATTCATGAGCTAACAATGAATACCACATATTAGCCTACACGTTAATGATAACACTGATTTAAAAAAAAAAATACACACACACACACACACACACACACACACACACACAACAGAAGGAAGGCCAGAGAGAAAGCAGAGGAAAAGTTACAGTACACATTCTATTTCTACTCTGAAGCAATACGACTTTTTTATATTTCCTGTAAAAATACTGGAAGGTTCTACTACTCATAAAAAAGCATGTAGAACAATCTAATAGATATTTTCTCCTGGTAAATATTATATTTAGAAAACACTATTTCCAAGGGCTCCAAAAAAATTAAAAAAAAAAAACAACAAAATACACACTTCATAAAGTTTTAAAGGTAAAATGTCAGAAATAGCGTGACAACAATCTTATGAGAAAAAATATTTATGATAAGCTGTTCAAAGTGGCGCTTAGATTGGGGAAAATCTTAAACTTGTTTTGATTTAAAATTCTTGGGAGGACAAGATGAAATGTTAATGTCTGCATACCAGAAGACGACAGCAAAAATGAAAACCACAGCAGGAGTTCTCTGTTGTTCGGAGTTGTAATTCTTTCCTCATTGATCTCTTGGGATTTGGGATATTATTTTAAGGTTCTCCAGTGAAATATATTTTTGGAGAATTAGCTCCCAAGAAAGAGCAATGGGGTAGTTTTTTTGTTTGTTTGGTTTTTTTTAACTTAAAAAAAGACAGAACGTACATACTGCTTTACAACTGTTGGCTATCAGACTTGCAGTCTTCTTGAAGGTCTTTTCAAGGTAGTGTGCAAATCTTTCATCTTCATTTTCTTTTGACCCTAGCTGAAGAAATTCACCTGTAAACGAGGAAAAGGGTCATTTGAGATGTGGTTTGATTGCCTGGCTAAATACCAGGATCGACTAAAACAGAATAATAATCAGAATCAACCTACCACGCACCAAATCTTCAATAACTTGGGTTAAAATAGATATGACAGTTGTATTTCCAATTCGTGCCAGAGCTATAGATGCTGCAGAAAGAATTAAATCTCCAGCGAGAACAGCCTAGAAAAAAGAAGGAGGAAGAACACTTTCAGAGACTAGGATCACGGAGACTTGTCAGAAGATAAACACAGACTGGGAGGGAGGGCTCATCTCGGATGGAAGTTTTTTCATCTTCCCCTAACTCAGCAGGATTACATAATAGTCAGTTACAGATTGGGGACAATGTTTGAACTTCACTGGCTTCCAGAGATGACTGTGTCTCTCTCCCCGATTCACAGCTGAAGACACGAATGCCTACAGGGGGAGGGCAGCTTCCCCACGGCCCCCACCAAAACGCAGCTGCGACACTGGATCATTCGTTCTCATGTCAAGGCAAGCTGTTGCGCCTTTCTCCTGACTGTTCCTTCAGCTCGAGAAGTCCTCCGTCCCCTTCTTCACTGAGCAGACTCATCTGCATCATGGGCTTAGATGCCACCTCCAGGAAGTCCCCCCACATGCCTCAGCCTGGTCAGACGCCTCCCCCGTGTGAGCGCCACACCCCGCGCACGCTGCTGCCACCACACCTGGCTCCCCCGGGCACGGACCAGGAGCATGTCAGCTAGCACGCAGCGCGCCCCGGCGCCTGGCACACTTTCAGTGAGAACTGAACCAAGGCATTCCCGCTGTAAGTTCAGTGCTCTCTGCACTATACTACACTGCTCCTCATGCCTGGACAAAACTGTTTTTTCATTGAACTCTAGGTAATCAACATATTCCCAATCTTCTTTAGGTTGTGAGTGGATGTCCCACTGTATTAGCAACTACTTACAGATTACTGTGTACACAGATGCAAGTACACACCACGCTGTTTTAACGTTATGATACACATTCCACATGCATGGATCCACCCATGTACCCTACATCGTTAGCAGCTCAGGGCCAGGGACCCCTGGAGACCAGAACATTCCAGATGAAACTGAAGCCACAAACTGCGCACGGTTAGGAGTGGGGAGCAAGGAGTGAAGGGCCGGCAAACCCAGGCCAGGGGTAACGACAGCCCATACAGAGGGCCTGGTGTGGGTGGATTTTTAGACCAGGGACACAGTGGCTGTGGTTCATAGACAGAAAAACGTGGGGGCCTGGTGGGCAGCCCTGTCAGAGCTGACAGAGGCAGGCGAGGGCGGCACACTTGTCCTGTCCCTGCCCTCGGAAAGAGGCCTCCACAGCAGCGGCAGACACTGAGGGGGCTCGCCCAGGAGAAGACCATCATTTGTTCTCTGGATGTTTCCCTCCCTGAGGGCTCCAAATAAGGCTTTAATCTGGCCCTGCCCGAAAGGACACAGCTGATGGCAGGGATGAATCATGAAGTTACCCAAGTCCTCTCCAAAATGAAACCCCACCCTCTTTTCGCCAACATGCTGATGAATAGAAGAATTCTGTCCATAGGACATAAAACCTCTTAATCTAAAACTTGAAAAAAATCGCATATAAATGAAATTGTAGGACTTGATTTTTCACAGCAAACTTGTTTACGTTAAAACCTGCATGTGAAGATAACAATGAACGTATGTATTTCTTTTAATAAGGATAATTAAACAAGAAAGAACCAGCTACTATAAATATATGAGGGTGAGGAGGGTGAGAGAAGGTGAATTATATTTGCATACTTTTTGTTTGCTCTTTGGCCGGGCAAGTCGGCCCACGGAGGAATGTGTGGCCTTGGACACCTGCGCCTATAAGGCCTGACATCTTCATTTTTTTTTGTTCAACTTTATACCCATCCCTAGGATTTATATATCCTTAAACAAAAGTCCCTATTTCACACATTCCCTTCAAGGAATACTAACAAAATAACATGGAAATATGCTTTAAAATATGCACATACAAACCAAACCCAATTATACAGCTGCTATTTCAAAAGGTAAAATTTTCATGGTAGAACAGTATTAGCTCTGAGGTTTCTTTTTCTTTTTTTAGTTTTATTTATTAATATTTGTCTAGATACTTACATGTGGCAGTCAATCAACAAATGTTTAAGAATCTAAACCAAATCTGGGTAATTTGAGCCCAAAAGTAAAATGTATGATTCCCCATCAAATACACTTTGTGGATATCCATGAAAATACCTTTCCTTAAAACTAAAGGAATTCTAGATGAAACTGTGAAGAATCAGAATTACTAAATTAATTTTTCTATGGTATTTTCTATTATCTATTAAACATCTGTATACCAACAGGACATAAATACTTTTGTTTGAATTTAGAAGACCACATTTGAGCATACCTATTTTATTTTAATGATAAAAGACTGAAAAACAAATGTGATCCAAAAAGCATGTGATTTGGCAAGAAAGGTTTTAAAAAATCAAAAACAAACAAACAAACAAAATCATACCTTCTTTTCACCCCAGATCTTATTAACTGTGTGTTTTCCTCTTCGAGAACTTGCATCGTCGATAACGTCGTCATGAACCAGACTAGCGGTGTGGATCATTTCTGCAATTAAGGCTATGGAGCGCTGGCTGGCTTGCACATCTCTAATTAACAGAAAGCAATGCTTTTTTAACAGACGCCGCCTAGAACCTTCTCAGCAATCACCTTGTGAAAACTGGACATCGGATCTAGGATAAAGAATTTTATTTCTCTAAGAGAAACTGTATAAAGACTTTGGCTTCCCTACAGAGCCATTTCTACCATTTGGAGAACATTTAAAAAATGCACGAGAAATTCTGCTAAGACTATATATGGACTCCATATTAAGAAACAGAATTTGTATAATTAACAAAAGGTAAACATCTCAGAAGTCTGGCCATTGGGCTAAAGAATCACCATTATAATGGTGGTCTTGGTCAGTTATTCAAGGTTATAATTAGGTTGCAATTAAATATCAGGGGTGAACAGAGAAAATAGGTACGATTTTTTAAAAAGTATATTAAAGAATCAACTGTCATGATGTTCAAAATTTTTAATACTGTCTTAAATGTTTAATATGACAATCTCAATAACTAAGAATGTTCGCAAAATCTTTCTTCCAATTCATATTTAACATTTGCATTAGAAATTTAAACTTTTATTAAATATTTCCCAAGTTTAACACAAACTATAGGATAAGTACTCTTAAGATACAGTACATAGATGTGAATTTTACAGTTAAAAGGGTATGTCCCCAGTTTATTTTTAATCATCACCATAATTATTATGGGAATTTAAAAAAACTAAATTTCCAGAAAATCAAACTGGGGAAATAACCATTGAATTTTTAGAACCCAAAACATATGCTTAACTTAAATACACATGAAACAAATGTTTCACTTAGTCCCATAGTCCTGGGTACTTTTCAACTACCATCAGGTTATATCTTAGAGGGGAAAAAAGTGAAAAGGATATTGAAATATGACTTTTTCTTTAAAAATCTATATAGGCCAGGCGAGGTGGCTCATGCCTATAATCCCAGCACTTTGAGGTAGCAGGGTCCCTTGAGGCCAAGAGTTCGAGACCAGCTGAGCAATAGCGAGACACCCATCGCCCCTGCAAAAAAACCTAATTTGAATATCCATACAAAGTAATGCTCATTCTGATTCCTCAGACCCAGCCTAAAGTAATGAAAAATGAAGTGTCACTATATAAATGATGCTGGAATTTAAATACAGACACTAAATCGTATGCGATCTTCTGATTTTGCTTGAAATATAAATTTTAAAACATGTTACCTTGCCAGATCCTCTTACCTAAGGCCTTAGAACTAAACCCTAGAACCTTCCAACTGCTTTGCTTTCAGCCTGGAAATCACTTGTAAAGTGCTACTCTTTATTAATATTTCACAGTTATAACAGTTTGTAATGCTTCCAGATCACAATACATTCTAAGGGGGAAGAACTAAATCAAAAGCAAAGGATGGGAGGGACAAATTGTCACATAAAACCACTTCAGCAAATGAGAAAATAGAAGTTCTCATGCATTTAAGAGCTTGCTATTCAATCCCTCAGTGAGACACTCAGATCTTGTATGAGGAAGCTTAAAATATTTTTCAGGCAAATTTACTAGGCCATTATCTTCTTTAAGTTGAATGCACAGGAAAAGATGCAGACTTTTGCATTTTCTTTAAATATAAAGGCTATTATTTGGAATATTTTCTCAAGTGATTTTCAATCTAATAAAATGTACACTTCCTACTCGTTAGTAGTAGAACTTACCTGAAAACAACTGTTAAGGCCTCTAGCCTTTCTCATGCATTCATAAACTGGGCACACTTCCATTAGCACAAATTATATCAGCAGACAGGGCTCCTGCTGGGAAGTTGTAGTAAAATGGCAGCACTCACTGAGACGCTAGTTTTTTTGTTTTTGTTTTAATAATTTGAAGCTATTAAAACAAAGATTTCTTAAAATATTTCGAAATTTTATAGACCACTCTATATGCATATAAAATATCATTTTGCATGGCCAAAAAAAAAAAAAATCAGGATTCTTGCTTAGAGTGTTACTAGGCATTATGACACAGCCTCTAGGTACAATAAACATCATGTTTTAGATACTTCGTAATTTTTTCTGATATATTTTTTCCGGTGCAGTTTGGCTTTAATGCGTGTTGGTGTGTATCTGGAAAATCCTGCCACTGCTTACACATAACATAATGGTGGGGTACATGAGCAAAATTTACAGATTACAGGAAAACCTCACACTGTCTTTTAAGATGAAATCTCCAAAGTGCCAAATGGAGTCATGCTTTCAAAAAGCTGGGCACCATTTCTACTTCCTCCTGTGAAATAGCTGCCACACATCCCCAGCTTCTGGGAGAGGTGACAGGCCAGGCAGCATGAGAAAAGGCGGCCCTTAGCTTTGAAGGCTGGCTGTGTCCTCTGTACTTCAGACCTGCACGACTATGCTGTGATTCAGCAAGCCACTCCCGACGTTTCTCTCTCCCCTTCTCTAGGTTAAAAACATTTTTTTTAAATAACAAAGAATTTCAAACATGCATAAAAATAGACCTACTACTACGAACCCCCCCACAAACCCTTACCTCAGCTTCCATGTTACTTTAGAAAGGAGTTTTACCCTATTCATACTAATACATAACCTGAAGTTTTAAACAAATGACAAGTAAACCCCCAGACTGGGGGGTTGCAGCATGGGTGGGAATCTGCCACAGAGGTGTGGTCCCTCAAAGCAGAGGGTCGCCTGTGCTCCAGCACGCTGGCCACCATCCCTTGTCGCTGGCCATTCACTTTCGTAAACCTAAAGAAGCACACCAGGCCCAGAATGAAGTCTCTCTTAGGTGAGAATGATGGTTTTTTAAAAGCTTGATCATAAAAGTCATAGATATGTTAGCAATTTAATAGTAAGAGAAAAGAACTGAGATTGGAAAGCAGCAGCTCTTGAGTATTTTCAGATTTAGGAGCAGATAAAAGGGATGGCTGCAAAGTTGCACCACCAATGATACAAGGTTCACAGTACTGTTTATTTTCTTGCCACCTAAGAAACACTACAGAAGCTTGTGAGTCTTGGGATATGTGGGGAGCAACCCCCATGATGACAGCCTGGATCTGCATCTGATCCTGGTTGCTCTATGCAGGGCTTTCTCCGTAGCATCCAAGGTACTACAGAATAATGCAGCATCTGGTTTTTTCAAATTGAGCATGGAGAATAAAAGTGTAGAAGCTGATTCCTTTGCAGCCAGAATCAGCCTCCTCATGGCGAGGAGTGTGCTGAGAAGGGTGCACATGCCACATCCACGAGCCCTACAGCCCTCTTGCTCTCACTGTGGTTCTTATGCTTGCCTTGACCTCACCAGGAAAATGAAGACCATCTGCTCATCAAAATCTCCACCTTAGTGGGTGGGTACCCCTTGCTGTTAATATAACAGATTATATTTCAAAGATCCATTTTAATAGTGACTAGGGACACATCAAAAGTGCCACCTCCTAGGTTAAAGACAAAAACACTTCCTTTGGCACCAAGCTTCTTGCCTATTCCAAAAACCACAGCAGCGTTTGTTCTGGCTCAAATGATTCAGAACACACAGAACCCAGCAACGGGGTTCTAGGATCGTCAGTGGCTTGACCTTGGGAATTGTTAAGAGAGTCGGTGCTTAGTGACGGTTTTTTTACAGTTTTCCCAGAGGGGTTTTTGGTAATTTCCTTAGTTTTTATAGAGCTATAAAAGTTACCTCCTCTCAATATAAGATTTTTATCACACCTGGACCCTTGACCTATTTATTACCTAATGTGATAACTGCCTCTTACAATATGGCCGTCTAATAATCCAGTCCAGCTTTGAAAACTAGGCTAGTGGATTCAATGCTATTTGACTATTTGCACAATCAAGATCAACAGATCTGTGCACAACGTAAGTTGGGCAGCCCCGTAATCCTGATCGTTGGCAATGGGAGTGACTTTCCAGTGCTGGACGCGTTCCATGCAGAAATGGATGGTGCCAAGATCCAGGTGCCAATGCTATAGTAGGTCCCTTTAATGAGGTTGCTGAGCAGGGGATAGCTTTGGCTTATTTAGCTGTTAAGCATAACTGTGTTGTATTCCATGGAGCAATTTTATAGGCATCTATTTATTATAAAGTTCTCTTTTGATCTGGATTCTTTGATAAGTCCTGACCTACAGTTCAGGTTTTTGCCAAACTCTATTACAAGTTAGGTTCTCCAGGAAGCAGACTGTGCAATAATGAAGTTTAAACGTACAGGATGTTAACTCAGGAATACCCCTGGGACCCACACCTGGGCAGGGAGGCAGGAAGGAAACAGGACTGGGCAGAGGAAGAAGTTGGTCTGCAATGCAGCCCCTTGACAGTCTGACACCCCATGGGGCACCGTGGAGCTAGATGGGTCCCTGGATGTGGGCTGCCTCCAGCAGGGGCATAGTCCAAGGCAATCCTTGAAGGAGCTGAATAATAGAGGCCAAGAGGTACCAACAGTACCTGGTACAGCAGCTGGGGCAGAGTCCCGCATTGAGGGGGAACTGCAGACACATCTCAGAATCCAGCACAGTTCTGTTTTCTGGACATTTCATGACTGAGTCATTTGGTGTATACATCTCTACTTCACTCACCCAGGACTGTGGTTCAGGGCATAGACAGGGAACAAGATAGGGTCTTAAGCTTTTCAGGGCCATATTACCCTTTGAGAACACATTTATATTACAAGCCATAGATACTCTTCCCCAGAAAAATGCAAATATGCGAAAAATTTTACAATCAATTTCAAGGGGTTGACAGAGCCCTATAACTCCCACGGATCTCAGGTTAAGAGCTCCCTGTAAGGTAATCTAGCAGGGAACAGAAAAGCTTAATAAAGGAAAAAGAGAAAAATCAATAAAACTTAGTTCCCCCCCTTTTCTCTATTTCTTAAGATATCTATTCTATTCTGTTTTCTAAAACTCCCTCCAAGGTTCTGTTTCTAGAATGCCCTATTTAATACACACCTAGGAAGCAAGGTATCTGATAAGTCTCACTGGAACCGTTAAACTCTGATTGCCAAGTGATAAAGTGCTATCTCTCAATCATGCCATCACCAACAAGCAAGCATGTCAAGTTCAGGAGCAGGTTGTGGCGCCACAGGGGCTGGAGGCGGCTCTGGTGGCACAAGATGAAACAGGCTGTGTGTGGTCCCACTCCTGACTCCTTAACTACTGCTCTCCCCTGTTGCAAATCACTCATGGCTCGGCTCTCTGGAAGCTGCCCACCCCTCTTGCATGGCGTGGAAGTAACAGCTAGTTGACAGCCCATAAGAGCTTGATCCAGAGGGTCCTTAGGAGGTAACAAGTATTCTCAAGAAGTTGGGGCTGGAAGAGTAACACTGTTAGGGTTCTGTAGGACCCAAATCTATGCCACAGTCAGACTCTTGTCCCCATGTGGGACACTGCTTCTGCACCCTGATAAGCCCTGCTCTAGTCACTTACGGGGAGCTGAGCTACGGTCAAACATCCCCTGGAGAGGGCAATATTGCCTTTTCTATTACATGTGCCCATGTGTTCTGCAATTGTTTATAGTTTCAATAAATCAAACTGAGAAAACTCTCAACTGTAAGGACAAGGACTGAAGGAGAATTTAAAGCAGTGAAGAATATTTTCCTTCCTATGTTATCTCTTGAGGGTAACAAACTGTATTATGTATTAATATAAGAAATTAAAAATATAAACACTCTCTGGACCAGTGTTCTCAACCAGAGGTTGATTTTGCACCACATGGCACATGTGGCAGTGTCTGGGAACATTTTTTGGTTGTTACTAACTGGGGGGCATCTAGTGGGTACTAGGCCAGGGATGCTGTGAAACATTCTAAAATGCATAGGACAGCCCCCCCCCCAGCCCCCAACAAAGAATGACGTGGCCCAAAATGCCACTAGTGCCAAGGCTCGGCAACTCTGCTCTAGACCACGTGAGATGTAGTTCAAGGGTGGTTCAGAGAGAGCATTTCTGTTGCTCGGCCTTGTAGGTAAAGTGAAAGTGGTCCTGATAATGGTTAGAAGGTCACTTGCAGAGATTCTGATACTTGCTCAAAATATACTGTGAGCTCTTGGAAAGGTCCAGTTTAAGTGGAAGCCACCCCCAGCACGGTGTGACGTGCTGGACACGGAGGGCATGGGGCAGGCACAGCAGACGGTGGGCAGCCGTTAGGAAGCCGTATTTGATGCTCTTTCTTTACAACATCATTTAATTCAGTGCTGCCTAATCTTAGGCATTCTTTAAAGTGTTATCTACTAAGAGGAAATATAATGCAAATATTCAACACTACGAAATGTATTGGTACTTTATGCTCTATTGGAATTTCCATCAATGGATTATAAGATATAATTATGAAGACTGTTCAGCAACATGGGAAAGAGTTTAAAAAACAAAAGTAAAACAAAGCAGAATACAAAATTTTATACATATTATATATAAAATAATATATATACTGAATGACTAAATATGGTTAGTAGTTTTAAAACTATGGTTAGTGGTTTTAGACTGGCCGGGAGTGGTGGCTCATGCCTGTATCTTAGCACTCAGGGAGGCCAAGGCTGGGGGATCATTTGAGCTCAGGAGTTGAAACCAGCCTGAGAAGAGCGAGAACCCGTCTCTACTGATAAAACAGAAAGAAATTATCTGGCACAAACTAAAAATATATAGAAAAAATTAGCCAGGCATGGTGGCACATGCTTGTAGTCCTAGCTATTCGGAAGGCTGAGGCAGGAGGATCCCTTGAGCCCAGGAGTTGGAGGTTGCTGAGAGCGAGGCTGACGCCATGGCACTCTAGCCCAGGCAACAGAGGGAGATTCTGTCTCAAAAAAAAACAAACAAAAAAAAAAACCAAAAGTTAGAAGGAACAAGATCTAGTGTTTGGAAACACAATAGGTCAACTACAGTTAACAATAATGCGTTGTATATTTCAAATTATTATATACTTTAAAATAACTAAGAGTGGAATTGGAATGTTCCTAATCCAAAGGAATGTTAAATGCCAGAGGTGATGGATACCCCATTACCCTGATTTGATCCTTACAGACTGTGTGCCTGGATCGAAATATCACATGTACCTCCTAAATATGTACAATTCCTATGTATCCATAATAACAAAAGAAACAGAATGGAGGGAAGGATGGAATGAGAAGATTGCTGCATTGGGTAACGTGGAAAATTCTTTTTCCTTTTAAGATTTGCTTTAATATGCAAATGTTGCAGTTGTCTTAATATTTTAAAATTCTATATATATTTAAAACCTAAGAGTTAAAATGTCTTCTTTAAAAAATATTTCTCTTTTGCATGATCAGAAGGTCACAGGGAAGCAGGCACCCCAGGGTGTGTGCTGCTCAAGATAAAGGCGCACCTAACCTCTCTAGAACAATTGACCTTTGGACTAACTGCCCCACGCATACAATGGTTAAATGTAGTCACACATCCTGGTACTCTTTACTTCCTAACAAGAAAACAATTTGGCTCTTAACATTTTTCTAAAATGTTAATTTGCAGCCAAAGTTGTTCTTTGATGGACATTAAAAAGTCTGGAAAAGGAAGATGGCTAGGCTAGAGTCCAGAGTGCCTTTAGTGACTCAAAGTCCCAATCTATGGGTCACAAAGGGAATTCTTGGACATATACTACTTCTTAAGTGGGAAATGAAACAGTAGCCTTGGGAAGAAAGAATTTCCAAATAAAAAAATGAGAGAGGAGTGAAAGAAAGCACTCACCGGGAGTTATTATGGTGAATATTACACGCTCGGGCCATTAGCACCACAATAATTGGTCGAAAGGCTTTTCCTTTTCCATCAAAGTAATACTCAGACATCTCCTTAAGTTCTGTTGTAGATATGAGCAGTTCCTGAAATAAAGTTGCTCTGTGTGAAAACGGCATCGTAACTGCACAGAAAGTCAACAGGACTTCTTTTACGGAACTCTGGTTTGATTGCAGCATATTCATTTCAGTTGAGGAATTCAACACTCAGGTGGACAAAGCTCCAACGCTGGGAGGCCACACACCTGGCTGCCCGGAGGCTGGGACACAAACAATTCCAGGCTCGGCCAAGTGGCCCAAGGGCTGGAGCAGGTACAGCCGCCTGCACCGTTTACACAGCCTCAGACACCATGAGTCGAGGACGCAGTCGGAGGGTGAAGTATGCACTGGGGTACCCAGGGACTCTGGGTGAGGACAGCTGGATAGAAAAAAGCACAGGGGCCAGTAGCAGCTTGGAAGATGGATGGTGGAGGAGAAAGATGGGGATGGTGGGAGCCAGTGGCTGTCGTTGCCCAGGAAGCAGGTTGGGGGTGTCCTGGGTAGGGCAGAAAGCTATTTATTAGGAGCAGGAAGATGGTACAACGGTGGCTGGGGAGAAGCAGCAGGGATCAGTCAGTCTGGCTTGGCCTTTATTAAGCCAAAGACATTTTGAAGGTTCAGAGAGGTGGTGTAGGGTATGGCTTGCTTGATTTCGAGGAGCTTACAACTGGGGAGACAAAACCACATTAAATATATTGAAAGTTCAGAGAAGGGAGAGATCAATGGGGGCCACAAAACCCAAGTATTTCATAGGGGAGATAAGCTTTGACCAGGGATCAGCAGGATTTTGATTCATGAAGAGGAAGGAAAGCCTTTCAGATGATGGGTGTGTCTGTCCTATCTGCCACTCCAGGACAGGTTCAACTGGATCAGAGCTGATCCCCTGGAAGTGGCGGGAGCCAAGAATGAACCCTCAGGTGGCCCATCATTCATTCTCTAAATTACCGCAGTCAGTGCCAAGCAGTGTAATAAACACAGAGGCCGCAAAGCTAAGTAAATACCCTGTGCCTACAAAGAGCTCAGGGTCTAGATTGGAGAAGTAATGCAACTGTTGCAGTTAATGCCATGCAGAGTGACAGGTGTGGTGCTGTCACCGAGGTAGGCACCGTCACCCTGGGAGCACGAATGGGAACCTCTGGCCCGGTGGAGACAGGGAGAAAAAGAGCAAGAACGAGAGGACAAGAGGCATGGGGGTGGCCTAGGGCTGTGGGGACCCAAGGCAAGAGACAGACTAGAAGGACATGGAGGGGAAGGACAGGGATGAGTCCAGGATCCTTTTCATGTTCCTGGTGGTACCTTCAAGGGGCAGGGAAAAAAGGAGAAAAAGCCAGCTCGTGGGAGGAAAGTAGAGTGTCAGCTATAGTAAGATCATCATGGACACTCCACGGAGCTGCCAGGAGAACAGGTCGCTATAAGGGTGTAAGGGGGCAACGCAATCTGGAGGAGCGAGGTCACCTGGGGGGGGTAAGTACGGAAATGGGTATTTAGAGGACACAGAGAGAGGCAGGCACAACAGAACCACAGGGAACGGCAAAGTTAAAGGGGGTGGAATGGAGGTGATGAACTGAAGAACGGCCTGGGGGTGAGGAGGGAAGCGTGGAAGCCAAGGAAGCCTAAGCAGGGGGACAGTCAACAGTATCCAGTGTTCACAAAAGTCAAGCAAGAGAGAAGCCAGAAAGTGCCCATTTGGTTTAATAAAAGGAAGCTACCAGGGCAAAAGCAATTTCGGTGGAGAGGCCAGAAAGGGAGCCATGGTGCATTGGAGGAGAAAGCCTGAAGGGGCAAGAGAGGACAGAGGCTGAGAAAGCTGTGACAGAGAGAAAGGGCAGGGCGTGGCCTTTTAGAAATGAAGCAGCGGCACCTGGAGCACCTCCAATGGATGCGAAGGAGACAATGCCAGGGAGTTCGCAGAGCAAGGACGGAGGGCAGACAACCGCTAGAGGACTTCCTAGGAGACTGAGGAGGGAGCAAAGGGGCTGTCCCTAGACAGAAAGGGGACATTACTGCTCTGAGCTGGGAGGAAAGGATGCTGGCAAGGAGAGAGGGCACACGCAACTTGCACACGGCGACAGAGCAGGAGCAGAGAGCTCCTCTGCACCTCTGGGAAACAGGGAAGTGTGGTGGTGTCACAATATGACAGCCAGCGCCCTGGGGCTTGAGGAGGGGCGTGGGGAACTCTGAAAGGGGTAGGAAGCTGACAAGGGGCACGTGGACATTTCTGGGCAGCAATTCAGAATCCATGTGAAGTTAGGAGCCACTGAGGTTTTGGGGGAAAAGGGTTGAATGAAGAAAGCCGTATTTGTGGCAGTCTGTACATGACATTCAAATTAGACAAGACAGTAGTAGGAGTCACAAGGAGGTGATTGATGGATGTGAAGAGGAAAGGTAAGATAACTCATTGGACAAGTCTGTGCTACCTGCATCATTTTGTTCAGTTTCCCAACTCTGCAACTGCCTCTTTCTGAACAGCAACACGTATTGCGCTCTCCACACTGCCCCGCACTAGGCTGTGCGTGGTTGCTTAAGAAACATCTGGAACTTGACTTTTGCAAATCAAGTTCGCAATGGCATTGCACATAGCTAGAAACCTGTGCTGGTTTTTCATAAATCTAATACTTTACTAAGTTTGGGTAAGTGAAAAAATGACTTGACAGCAGAATAAAAACTTACCTTTCTTATGTCCTCATACAGACCTTTCAAGTCTCTCCAGCCCAGTTTAAAAGGATCGGTGAATTTCTCACCACTCCGTGTTTTACTGTAACAGCATGCTACTGGTGTCGTGTGATGAAACCTGAGATGAGCAAAAATGCACAAGACTTCATTTTTAAGTAAGTTTTGTATACCCATACATAAACATAAATGCAGTAGACTCAGATGGTGGAAAACTAAGCCCGAATACTTGCTGGAAATTCAGTATGAATCTTGAAAAGGTTATTATAACTTGAATTCTGTTCTTGGTAAATGATATAGCATTTTTATAAACAGGACCTTGAGAACCCACAAAATCAAAGAACAACTAAACTATGTTCATTTTGTTCTGGGCTGAGTTCAAATTTTATTATATTCCAATTTTTTTGAAAAGGCAGAGATCATATAGGGCAGATATTGTGGCACTTAGTTAAACAATACAATAAATATGTTGACCTAGCCCACTATACTTTAAAGTATAAATTTATTGGCAATATGATTTAGTAATTTTAGTAGTTGCAGTATGGGTTATAAACTTACCTTGATATACTATATACATTTGGAAATGCAGATGTTAAATGCTTCATAAAATGAAAACAGGCCATCTATAAAATAAAAGTATCAAGAAACTTGTAAGAATATTCCTGAAAAACTTGTTTCTAACATTAGATGATTAAAAACCTCCATAATTCATAATAATCTTTATCTTTTAATTACCCATAAATAGATTGGCTGCAAGCTTGCTTTCTTTCATTTTTACTTGAAATCTTCGTTTATCGCAAGCTTTGGAAAAAGGATAATTTAAAAAGTTTCCATTCCTTATTACAAAACAATACTTGTCATTCAGAAAACATAAAAAAGAAAACAGTAGAAAATAAAAACCATGTATAATCCATCCCTTCCCCTAAAGACAGCCACTTTCCATATTTGTATCTATCTTTCCAGACCTGAAAAGTAGTTTTAAAACAATTTCTTTCTATTTAACTAAGACTGGTCAGAGGACAGTAAAGATTAATATTGTTTATATTCTTTTAAATTCTCAAATCAGTTTAAAACAAAGAATCAAGATCTTAAAAAACATCATCCCAGATGGTGAAAAAAAAAAGATTTCAATACTAAGGAAGAAATTTACATTTACACAAACACTGCCTATTTTAACTTATTGTCCCTAAACATACTTTGGAAATGGTACTTCAGGATAAATAACATTAAAAACCAACCTACCTACCTCAGCATTACATTTTGATAATATTAACTGGAGATCAAAGAATAACAGTGGACCACTTCTAAAAGATTAAGAGGTGGTAACAAATATTAATTCCAACAATCACTGAGAACAATTATGGCCCAGGAACTGTGACAGGCGCTAGGGACCCAAAAATACAGATTATAGAATTGAGGGATTCAGAAATTTAAAAAAATACTAATTTACTGATCTAATGTGGTAAGGGCTCTTATATACCATTATTTCATTTGATCCTCACAAATACTTGCTTCTATATGTCTGGGGAACTTGAGGTTCAGAAAAGTCAAGTCTGAAAAACTGACATGTAGATATGTTTACAATATATCAAAGGGGAAAAGCACTTGCAGAACTAGGTACATTATGTGATACCACTAAAAATTTATATATACCACACCAGAGAATTGGATTTGAAAGCACAGAAACAAGGGTGTTAAAAGTAGTTATTTTGAAATAGGATCATGGGTGTGTTTTGTTTTATTCCTTTTTTTGGTATATATTTTCTGATTTTTCTCTGACAAACATGTATGACAATAGGCTGGGTATGGTGTCCTGCCTGGGATGCGGAGGAAGGAGGATGGCTTGAGGCCAGGAGTTCAAGACTAGCCTGGGCAATATAGCCAGACCCTGTTTCTAAAAAATAAAAAAATTAGCTGCAAATGAGGGTGCATGCCTGTAGTCCTAGCTATTGGGGAAGCTGAGGCAGAAGGATCCCTTTTTATTTTTTTGAGACAGAGTCTCACTCCGTTGCCTGGGCTAGAGTGCTGTGGCATCAGTCTAGCTCACAGCCACTTTAAATTCCTGGGCTCAAGTGATCCTCCTGCCTCAGCCTCTCGAGTAGCTGGGACTACAGGCATGTGCCACCATGCCCGGCTAATTTTATATATATTTTTAGTTGTCCAGCTAATTTCTTTTTATTTTTAGTAGAGATGGAGTCTCACTCTTGCTCAGGCTGGTTTCGAACTCCTGACCTTGAGCAATCCTCTCGCCTTGGCCTCCCAGAGTACTAGGATTACAGGCATGAGCCACTGCGCCCAGCCAAGAAGGATCCCTTGGGCTCAGGAGTTTGTGCCACTGGGTGACAGAGTGAGACCTTGTCTCTTAAAAAAAATAAAATAAAAGACAATAAAGGTTGACTTTGCCAGGAAAGTCAGGAAGTCAGGTCTGAGTTTCACTCTTTTCACCATAGCATTACATATTCATTAAACCAATAAGAACATTATGACATCCCAAGCATTTATAAGCATTTATCCCAGAAAACAAAGCGATAATCCTCCCTTTTGCTTTTACTATGATATGATAACTTACTCCTTTCCATCTTCGTGGGTAATTAACTCATGAATTCAGTATTTTATTATAATACTTATATATAAGGGCACCTTAATGGAAGAGTTATAATTACTCAGCTTGAGATCTAATGATAGTCCTCTAATCTGGGGTGAAGGGTTCAAATTACATAGCTAATTAATACAGGGGGCTTTTTTTTTTTTTTACCACGAAGTAGCCTAATAGTTGTTAGTAGCATAGTCTTAGGAAGACAGACCTTGGTTCAAATCTCAACTTCTGTGTTACCTTGTACTATCCTTCTGATAACACCCACTCATGGAAAGATGCTGAGATTAGAGAGTATACTATACATAAAGCTTTTAGCTCAGAGCCTAGTGCACAGTATATATTTAATATAGTACTGTTCAGTAAAGCTACTTTTTGCTTAGTAACTTAGAACAACGTTTTCCAGAGTGAGGTTAGAGGTTCCCAGAATAGTAGTGAAGTATTAAGAGAGCTGTGAAACTACAGCGGAAGCACACTGCGAGCAGGGTCAACACTCATTTTCCAATGCCAATTTTGTCCCCTACCCTCCCATCACACACTATCCCTGAAAGTCATCCTTGCCTCTCATGAATTTGCTTTCTAAGAGAAGAGAAAATGCCGAGTAAGAACCGAAGACATACTGGCAAGTCACTTGGCGCAGTCAATGCATGCTGGTCTTTATCCTGTTGCAAGGTTTGTTCACACTACTGGAGAAGTCAGGAGGATGTGCAAACATCAGGGTGCAGTAAAGCTGTGCTGGGGACTCAGCCGTGGCTTAATTATTGTTGCTCTTTGTCCCCAAGGACTATTAGGCCCTGAGAGACTTGAAGTAACCAAAACACACATGCCTGAGGCAGACACCAGAAAGCTAATGTATTAATGTCAAGTGAAATATATCACTGACACACCAATCATAAATACATGACATTGGCATCATCTGGCAAGTCCCTCCTTGGGGCCATTCAGGCAGACATGGAAACCATGAAGCACAGTCTCTCCAGAAAAGCACACTTCCTGTGGTTAGGGTTGCTTGGTGGGCATGAAATCAAAAAGAGGAGCATCAAAGGAGAGAGTATCTAGTGGCATCAGAGGGTGGATGCATCCATCTCCTCATAAAATGTCCTCTCATCTGTGGAATTAGAAATATCTGAAGTTTGGCAAGGACAGTACTTCTGTCACCCGTTTTATTCTCTCTTTACTATCTAGTCTATCTACTAGTCCAGGTGCCATTCTCACTCCAAACGACTTTTCTGGATGATAATTTTATATGCATCCACTTTGGTACAAAGTAGACATGAATAAATGCCATACATTCCATAGTGGGAAACGGTGTTTGATGAGTACCTAGACATATAAGTGTACCAAATCTGAATGAAACTGCAGCGTCCAAAATTCAAAGAAACTTAACCTACAGCGACTTCACAGATTGTGCGCAGTTAATGCTAACAGTATGGGCTTACTCCGTGGCACATTGAGAATTAATCACTCCAAAGGACTCACAGAGCCATAAAAACATGTCCATTTACAGAGGCTAAACTGACTGCAAAGGGAGAAAAATGAGACTGGATCCAAAGGCACCAGGGGATGATGGCTATTGCTGAGATTCAGACTTTACTTCAAGAAGTCATACGTGAAATCAGAGATGACTCCAGGATTCCTCCCTTCCGAAATCCCTGGCCTTTTCCCCTTGCAGTGCCCTTCCAGCCCCAACCAGGTGTGTTCTCCCTCCCAGCAACTGCTGTACGTCCGGTACCCCCTAACATCAACCCTGCGTTCTCCACAGGTCCTTCTCCGACTATTCCGAGGCCAATTATCTCCACATCCTGGAGAGCTCCGAGCACCTTTTCCTCTAAACTTCCAAGCAAGATCTGTCTTCCTCTAATTGAAAGGAAATAGCAGCAGCGGTACCCAGGCTTTACCTTTGGCCCCAAGCCAGTGGACAATCCGATTATTCCGGCGTTCCCCCGAGACCAGGCTCCTCACCGCTTTCTCCCCCCAGCCCCAAATGCTCCCTCGGTCCCCAGGACTCAGCTCCGCACCCCTGCGTGGGGTGCCCCGACTTCGGCCAAGCGCGGGGCTGCGTCCCACGGCCGGCGCCCCGCCACCCCCGAGCCCCAGCCGGGAGGGACCCGGTGCGCCCCTGAGCCCCGCGCACGTGTTGCCCGCTCTCATTCATTCCGCGCGTGGCTGTCAATGGCGCCGTGACCTCTGCGCCCCGCCGGCCGCGCACCTCCCGCGCTCACCTGCGCGCGGGCGTCGGCGGCGGCGCGCGGCCCCTGTGGCCCCGCACCGCCTGGGGAGCCCGGCCCGGGGCTGCGCGCCGCCGGCCTCCAGGAGCAGCCGCGCCGCCACCGCCACCAGCGCGAGGCCATGGTCCGAGTCCGAAAGTCGCGGCAGGGAGGCGGCTCCGCCTCTGGCCCCACGGCCCTCCCCCCAGGACCCGGAGCCGGAAGCCTGGCACAGGAAGCGCTTATCCCGCCCCGCCCCGCTGCTCGCGCCCCCCCTCGACCCCCCGCGGCCGGCCGCCGGCGCCTCCTGAGTGGCCGCGCGGAAGTCGGGCCCCTTTAAGCTCCCGGACGCCCGGCGGGTGCGAGGAGGCCGAGGAGGCGGGGTCGCGGCGGAGGCCGGGCCGGCCACACCAAGCGTGACTTCCCCGGGGCGAGCCCTCTGAACGTGCCCTTCCTCGAAGCGGCTCACCGGGAGCCGGTGACGCCAGTAGTCGCAGCAAAAGTGTATCTTTAGGGGACCGCTGTTAGCCGGAAATAGCACAGTGTGCCACGTCTGCGGCCACTGACTCCTGCCCTGAGTATTTATGCAGAAATATGACTCAGAGAATCGCGTTCCTGATCCGGAGGCTACAGTTCCCGCGTCTGCTTTTCTTGGGTATGACCCACCACGCCATGGTCTGCTGCCTGTTGCAACCTGTGCTTGAAGGAAGTGTCACCCTTTGGCATCTTTCTAGTAACGAGTCCAGTCACCTTCAGGGCTATTGTGAAAGAGAAGCTAAGTTAGCCTCATCTCTCGACTTTTGGACTCTGTCTTCCGATAATCTTATAGGTATAGTTTGGCAATCTTGCTCATACCTGGATATGTGAGCCCCACCCTTGGGTGTCCTGAATTGCGTGAAATTGTTTAATGTTTGGTAATGTTGAGCCTTTTACCCAGCCCAGGAGGTGTAGGAGACTATAGGATGGCTACCCCTTGTGGGTCAGATAAACCTTTCCTTAGCTCTACATCCGCATCTGGTCTCCTCAGCGTATTTTAACAGAAATCCGTAATATAATTAAGCATTCAACACGTGCACTCAAACACACAGCCAGTGTGAGAGGGTGTAAGCATTAGGGATAGAGAAATAAACTTAGTCCTCAAAAAATTCATTCTTAGGAGGAAATAGACCAGCAAATAGGTAACTGCGATTGTCTGATAACATTTTTTCTTGTACTTTTGAACCACACTTCTTGAATTAAAGAATGCAGTAGCCCTATAGCTGTGCAAGTTATTTTGATATTTATTTTAAAAGTTTAGTTTTTTTATTAAATAAAAGCATCATGGAATATATAAAGAAGTCTTAAAATAAGCCAACTTTTTGGCGTTTTCGTGTCTTGAAGGATAGTATGTAAAAAGAACGCAAAGTACTTTACAGATAAAGGTTAGTATGCACCTGTGTTTTATCTTGATGTAGATTAGGTTTATGTAATAAGAAACATCCCCGAGGTAGAATTTGCCAAAGTAGAGTGTAGCAGCAAAACACTTTGTATTTGGCAATCTCATGACTAAGATACTATCGTTTTCCCCATTTTATTCAGATGAGGAAACATAGAGGAAATATCTTGCAGTAAAAAAATATCTTAAGTGCATGCCCACGCTCCTATGGTTGGCAAATACAGCACTACACAATTCTGGCAGGCCATTTGCATTTAGAGATTGCTTGGCCAGATTAGAACAGAAAACCTGGCTCTTAAAAAGATGCTGTAGTATGGCAAGGCTAAGTGGGGAAAGCAAGTGCAGTTACTTAAGGCACCTGACATTATTATATGGCAAAACTCAAGGAGCAACAATAACCTACCGATAGGACATGCAGAATTCAAAAGTGGTTCTTTAATCTGTCACAGGATCAGAGTAAATAAAAAAAAAATTTTTTTTTAAGAAAGTGGTTCTTTTGATCCAACTAGGTCAAGCATGAGTTTATGAAGTTAAAAACATCTGAGCAGTGCAGGTAACTGCTAAAGAACAGGCTTCTCTTGTGCAGGCTAAAAAACAACTTTGGTTTTTCCTAGTACACTTATGCAAATGAAACAACCAGTATGGACGGACCAAATGGACTATGTGTGTAATTGAAAGCTTTTTGAAAGTTGTCATTTCAATGATGGAGGATTGGGTACACTCAAAGACGTTTTCTTGCCATATTGATGATACTATTCAAAATATATTATCTGGCTGGGTGTGGTGGCTCACGCTTGTAATCCTAGCACTCTGGGAGGCTGAGGCCAGAGGATTGCTTGAGGTCAGGAGTTGGGGACCAGCCTCAGCAAGAGCAAGCCCCCACAAACACACTAAAAAATATAAAGAAATTAGCCAGGCAACAAATAGAAAAAATTAGTTGGGTGTGGTGGCGCACGACTGTAGTCCCAGCTACTTGGAAGGCTGAGGCAGGAGAATACCTTGAGCCCAAGAGTCTTAGGTTGCTGTGAGCTAGGCGGAGGCCACGGCACTCTAGCCTGGGCAACAGAGTAAGACTCTGCCTCAAAAAAAAAAAATCTGCGATAGGACCAGGTTTTATAGCCAAGGAGAGATTATAAATATACTATATATATTACCATGTTTTGGTTAACAGTACTGTGTAAAACATCTCATCCTGATGTTATTGGATAAATGACCAATTAATTACCCCAGTAACTCTGGTAAGAACATTTATTGAGAGAAAAGGTTCAAATAGTTGTACTGAAAGGGTCTTGGTTTTTGTGGATTTATGTTCTTAGGCAAAACTGAATTGTAAAGAATTTTATTTTGCAACTGCTGATTTTTCTGACATGTTAAGATAAAGGGTCAATATGCGTTTGGAATTCTCTCTGGGATTTTTAGTTAATGACCGATGAGTGGGTGAAAGCACCACAAGTGTGAGGGTTGGACACCCCGGAAGCAATTAGCCTTTTTTTGGTCTGTAGCCAGTGATTACTTGTATTGGCTGATCTTGACAGAATGTGCATCAGTCAGTATAAAATCATAACTACTAATGGAGTGTTATATACTGCCTGTGCTCTGCCGAATGTTAGAGCATCATAAAGGAGAGTGTATTAATTATATAATTTAGTGAATTTCACACAGAGGCTCTCCTAGAAGAGAAGAAAATATACAGTTGGATCTTTTAATTATATAGTCAGGTTTTCCATGGTGAATATTGAAATCACTTGTTTTTTTTTTTTTTTTTTTTTGAGACAGAGTCTCGCTTTGTTGCCGGCTAGAGTGAGTGCCAATGGCGTCCGCCTAGCTCACAGCAACCTCAAACTCCTGGCTAAGCAATCCTGCTGCCTCAGTCCCGAGTAGCTGGGACTATAGCGCACGTGCCACC